TAGAAGGAAAACTTACATAAATGTCCCAAGTAAAATTTACCAACCTCTAGCCATTAGTCATAGACTTACCAAAACTAGCCAAGCACATATAAAAATTGGAAAACCAAATAAATAAGGTTCTTTCTCTCAAAGAACCACATGCAAAAATCACCTTCCATATTTTTAAGCGTGATAAACAACATTAGGTGCAAGACGGAAAGGAAATTTCATGGATGAGGTAGTAAATAAGGTGATGAAATAAAAAAAAAATACAATATTCCAAAAATCTAAGCAAAAACGGAATTTTTTTAATGGGTATAGTTGAAATTCATTGAAAACATATAGATAAGTCAATATACAAAATTTGAGGAAGATTGGAGATGATTTGGATTGGTTATGTATCAAAATTCGTAATTAAATCGAGTTCAAAATATTCTTATGCGACACATGTATCACGCATGTATCTCACACACAGGTATACATGGATATACATGTGATACACAATTGATACAAATATGATACATATGTGATACACAGTGTGATACACATCATTATTTTTTTATGTTCAGTTTTTACTTCGATTTTTCAATTCAAACCACCTCAAAACTTCACCAAATCATCCTAAAATTGAGATTCAAGCCCCTTAAAATGTACCCAATCTATTCTAATAACACTCACTCAAAAGAAAGTAAAAATTTGACACTTTTTTGCTACAAATAACTAATTGGCTAATATTAGTAATATTTTATTAATTGATCAATTTTTATAATGAACTACTTATAAATGGACATAGCCGGTAGTTTCCCCAAATAGAAAAAAATCTAAACTTTTGACTTGTGAGGCCTTGAACTCCATATTAATTGGGGATTATTTACAATGAATGGTCTTTTTAGGTGAAAATAATACGGGCTAGTTAATTTTCGAACTAGTAATTGAAAAATAGCCATTATTTTATTTCAACGTGAAAAGTTTCAGCATAATATACTAGAGATTGGTGCACATGTGTAGATTTTCCAGCATATTATGCTGGAACTCCATCACACGGAAAGTTCCAGCATAATATACTAGAGATTGGAACACCTGTGTATGAACTTCTAACATATTATGTTGGATCAATATATTATGCTGGAAGTTCACATGTAAAAAATTCGAACTCCAGTATATTATGCTGGAATATTTTCGGATTTTGAACAATGTTTTTATTCAAATTTATCTTTACATGAAAAGTGACTAATTTTTTATTACTTTAAAATTGTGACTATTTTTCAATTACCACTCGTAAATCTGTCTATTTTTGAATTTCACCCCTTCTTTAGGACGCTCTTTAAAATTACTTCTTAGCCTAATTCGCTAAATTTCACCTTTTTAGAGTAGTTGGATGATTTTCTTTGGGAATATTTGCACCACGTAGCCACTTTGTGGCATGTATTTAAAATTTATTCACTATTTAAAGAAAAGGCAACCTATTAGAAAAAAGGAACACTTTTTTTTAAAAAAAAAATTCCCATCTTTTTTCTTGGTCTAGCCACTTGGAGACACCTAAAGTGGTTGTGGAGACTCACAATATAAAAATCTTTTCACAAACTTAACTTCTATGATATGGATTCCTTTGCAAACTTACTAATAATTCTCGAGGGATGCTATTTAAAGATTAGACAGTACTTATTTTGTCATGAAATTTAAAATTAAAAATCTTAACTTCAGGACAATTTAGGATTTTTGTCCCAAAAATTTAAACGGAAAAATTAAAATTCAGGACACACTGACTAATTCTTAAATAGCAGTCCTTTAGAATGACTAACTGGTGTCATTTCTATTTCGAACTTCAGGTTACTGCCTTGAAGTTCAAACTATTGAAACTGGACTTCAAGTTCAAACCAATATGAAGGCAGCGGAGGAGGGAGAAATTCAAAAATAGCTAGATTTACGAGTGGTCGTTCAAAAATAGCCATAGTTTCAAAAGTCATCGAAATTTAGTCACTTTTCATGTAAAGATAAATTGAACGAAAACACTGTTTAAAATCAGAAAAAATACTCCAGCATAATATACTGGAGTTCCAGTATATTATACTGGAGTTCCAACAAAGTATACTGGAACTCCAGTATATTATACTGGACCGGTCTCTGTAGCAGCAAAATAATGACTATTTTTCAATGACTTGGCAAATGATGATTATTTTTGAATGACCAGTCCAAAAATTGGTTAGCTCGTGCTATTTTGACCAGCGGAGGAAGCTAGATGAAGGATTAGTCATTATTTTGCTACAACAGGATTAGTCATTATTTAAAGAAAAGGCAACCTATTAGAAGAAAGGAACACTTTTTTAAGAAAAAATATTCCCACCTTTTTTCTTGGTCTAGCCACTTGGAGACACCTAAAGTGGTTGAGGAGACTCACAATATAAAAATCTTTTCACAAACTTAACTTCTATGATATGGATTCCTTTGCAAACTTACTAATAATTCTCGAGGGATGCTATTTAAAGATTAGACAATACTTATTTTGTCATGAAATTTAAAATTAAAAATCTTAACTTCAGGACAATTTAGGATTTTTGTCCCAAAAATTTAAACGAAAAAACTGAAATTCAGGACACACTTGAGGAGACTCACAATATAAAAATCTTTTCACAAACTTAACTTCTATGATATGGATTCCTTTGCAAACTTACTAATAATTCTCGAGGGATGCTATTTAAAGATTAGACAATACTTATTTTGTCATGAAATTTAAAATTAAAAATCTTAACTTCAGGACAATTTAGGATTTTTGTCCCAAAAATTTAAACGAAAAAACTGAAATTCAGGACACACTTGAGGAGACTCACAATATAAAAATCTTTTCACAAACTTAACTTCTATGATATGGATTCCTTTGCAAACTTACTAATAATTCTCGAGGGATGCTATTTAAAGATTAGACAGTACTTATTTTGTCATGAAATTTAAAATTAAAAATCTTAACTTCAGGACAATTTAGGATTTTTGTCCCAAAAATTTAAATGAAAAAACTAAAATTCAGGACACACTGACTAATTCTTAAATAGCAGTCCTTTAGAATGACTAACTGGTGTCATTTCTACTTCGAACTTCAGGTTACTGCTTTGAAGTTCAAACTATTGAAACTGGACTTCAAGCTCAAACCAATATGAAGGCAGCGGACGAGGGAGAAATTCAAAAATAGCTAGATTTACGAGTGGTCGTTTAAAAATAGCCATAGTTTCAAAAGTCATCGAAATTTAGCCACTTTTCATGTAAAGATAAATTGAACGAAAACACTGTTCAAAATCCGGAAAAATACTCCAGCATAATATACTGGAGTTCCAACAAAGTATACTGGAACTCCAGTATATTATACTGGACCGGTCTCTGTTGCAGCAAAATAATGACTATTTTTCAATGACTTGGCAAATGATGATTATTTTTGAATGACCAGTCCGAAAACTGGCTAGCCCGTGCTATTTTGACCAGCGGAGGAAGCTAGATGAAGGATTAGGAAGTTGTCTATTATAGGGGACCATTTACACAAATAGCCGCTTCTAATGCTGTTATTTGAAACATGATCACAAATTAAAAAGAATTGTGCGACTTTAGCCACCCCTTCAAAACCTTACCAGTTACCACCAGATTTTCTCTCTCTCTTCTCGTGGTATATATAGAAATTAAAATTGTATGACTAATCCAGGAACCTCTGTGGAATACATTTCATTGATGTTTCAAACCATTTTCTTTTAACCCAAGCAGAAAGATGGTCTTCTTATTTTTTCTAGTGTTGTTGAACTGAAAATGAGACAAGAATCTGCAGGAAGTTGATTTTGGATTGGCTATACCAATAGTAGCAGCAATTGGGTGGTTTTTTCTAGGAATATTTACACAAATAGCCAATAGATTCACTATTTATTTTTCAAGTGGATATATATAAATTATATATTAATTATTCACTGTCTATATCTATAGGCTATTTATAGTTTAAACTGTTGGTGGCTGGTTTTTCAGCAACAAAACCATATTCCCCTTAGGTAATGGGGAAAAAATTTAACTAGTGGCCTCAAAGAAGGCCATTTGTGCAAATCCCTTCTTTATATCAAGAATCCAAATCCCTGAAGCCATCATTTCTCTCTATTTCTGTTTTCTATCAAAAGAATTTAGCATAACATTGTAAAACAAGACAACAAGCAGAAATTGGGAAAAAAGAAATGTCGGAACCCCTCTTCGTTTCACACACTGTAGTTGCTTCTGTCAAGCTCAACCTTCAACTTCCAAAACCCAGAAACTGTATAATAAAACCATGGAGGAATTGCAGATTCAAAACTAGTGCCACTGCTACTAAGTGTAATGGCAAAGTGAATAGATGGTCCCTTAATGGCATGAATGCCCTTGTAACTGGTGGCACTAGAGGCATTGGGTATTTTTTTCACCTACCCCTTTTCATTTTCTAGTTCTTGATTTGTGTTTTGTTTCGTTGTATATGACACTATGAATATTCCGGAGTCAACCAGTTTTTAGTTGACTTTAATTTCTTAAAGGATTTATCTTATATTCACGAACAGTGTAAATGAACTGCAATGTCATGCTGTAGAATGTTAACTGCCTTAATTTTTTTGTTACTAATTCCACCTACTATGGGTAGTTAACTTTAATTACTTATAAGTGTTATAAAATCTTTTTACACTGTAAGGGGTCGTTTGGTTACCGGGATTAGGATAGTGATCCCAATATAAAATTTGGGATTATGTTTACCATGTTTGGTTATTGGTATTAGCTAAAATGGGTATACCAAAAGCTTGGTATTATCTATCCCATATAGATCGTGGGATTATAATCCTAGTATTATAATCCTTGGATATCCTTTTCCGAACCAAACGACCCCTAAGGGTACAAGTTGTTAAAAAAAATTAGTATAAGAAATTTGATTTAGAGTGGTTTTGCATATGATCTTGTAAACAGTATCCTTTGTGGAAATAACAAATGTAGCCATTGGCACATTTGCATAGTCACAAACCTAATTATGATTTTACTGTAAAAATTTCGATTAATATTAGTTTATGTGTAGTTTTTAAATATATAGATTATGTTTTTCAAGAAAATTAAGCACTTGAGATGTACAATTTCAAGCCAAAAACTAGGTTCTTTGATCTTGACGGAAACTAATACAGCCACTGTCACATGTACAGTCCAGTAATTTGTATGTTGTTTTCTTGATTACTCATATTTAAATTGAGTATTTGTCGTCTGTCGATGTGAATTGTTGTACAATTAGGCATGCAATTGTGGAGGAATTGTGTGGACTAGGAGCTACTGTGCATACGTGTGCACGGAATGAAGATGAGCTCGGGACATGTTTGAGGAGCTGGAAAGATGAGGGCTTTGCAGTGTCTGGCTCCTTATGTGATGTGTCTTCTCAAGTTGATCGCCAGAAGTTAATGGAGGTTGTTTCTTCTACATTCGACGGGAGGCTCAATATTCTTGTAGGTATCTCATTCACTTAAGCTCTTATTAGTAGCATTACATCTCAATGATATTTGTATGTGGCAACATTGTTATAACCTTCATTCCGCAGTTAATCAGCAATTGGCAAATGGCACATTGCAATGAAAGGCAAAATCTACAAAGCTATTACCAAAGCTGTAATGTATTACCAGAAAAGAATGAAAAGAGAAAGTAGATCCAATTGGAACTGAAGGATTTATCTTTCTTAAGCTGAAAAATTAGAGCAGGGTTAGACATAAACAATACGTTCATCGGATATCAGTCTGCAATGGCTTGGAGAGTTAGGTAATGGAGATTAAATTGGAGTAAAGGCTGCCAAGGATCTTGAAAGAGTAGAAATAATTTGTCTTAAAAGATTGATAAAGATGATTCTGCCTCCCATTGTTATCTCTATCTCTTGTCATTTGTCAACATCGCTGTCAACAATTTTAAGAAGTATCAGAAAACAGGTCGAGCAATCTTACACAAAATCGTCTTGTTTCATATGATGTTTCTGGAAAGCTTTCCATCTATTTGAGACAATTAAGAAGCTCTGGTTGTTGTTATTCTCTATGCTCCTCTCGTCACTCCTAAATTCTACCTCTTATTTACTGCTTTCTGTGTTAGCTTATGTATAACTATTTCCATGTAAAGAATAATTGGTAAAAGTAGCATTTCTCCAGTTGCATATAAGTAACAACTAAAGAGTAGGAGACTGGAATTTGAATCATTGTTGGGTAATAGATACATTGCATCATGTATCACTTTGCTCCTCGACTTATACATGTTGTCTGATATCCTAATTCTTCTTGATAATTGACCTGGCATCTCTGTTGACAGTTGACGCAAATATCTTTGAACTTATTTTCATCTAGCTTTGTTGGAGCACTTGCATGCATTAATAGATGAACTAATAAGTCAATTGGCTTTGTTTCATTGCTCAGTAGATAAATAACGTGGGGACCAATATCCGCAAAGCTATGGTGGATTTCACAGCTGAAGAGTTTTCCACCCTCATTGCAACAAATTTTGAATCTGTCTTCCATCTGTCTCAGCTTGCCTATCCCCTTCTGAAAGTATCTGGAGCTGGAAGTGTTGTGTTCACTTCTTCTGTCTCGGGTTTTGTCTCATTGAAATCTATGTCTGTACAAGGAGCAACAAAAGGTAAGACCTTCCTTCCCATTTATTTAAAATATTAGGGTTGATAGAGAGTATGACGGTGAAATGTCACCATCTTTTCCACTTGACTTCTTTCTGTAGGAGCAATTAATCAACTTACAAAATATTTGGCATGTGAGTGGGCTAAAGACAACATCAGGAGTAATGCTGTTGCACCTTGGTACATCAAAACATCCATGGTGGAGCAAGTAAATTCCAACTTTCTTCTTTTCAGTAATCCTATTATAGATGCTCTTGTCTTTGATGAACTGTGTCCTTTTGATATCGGCTGAGATTTTCTTTGGTCTCAAATACATGCATCCCAATTTTTCTAGCATACCAGTATCATGTATTTGACTTTCAATTCTTAAGATTGGCGTAAACAGAGTGTTACATGGCATTTTTTTTTTCCTGCTATAACAATACTGAACACCAAAAGAATGGGTTCTTGGGGGGTGCACAAGAGGTAGTTCAGAAGTTCAAGTGCTCTATTTAAAGGACTATAGAACCTTGTTAAGCAATAGAGTCAGTGGGTACACTGGCCACTAGCCAGAGCCATGATTGTTTGAACTTCTAGAAGACACAGGGAATTTACTGATGTTGCCTAAGCATCGATATGAGTATTGTAGCACACTGCCCGCCTTGGTCCTATATTCCCTTTGATCCTGGAGAAAAGAAACGTTAGTATCTGAAGGAAAATGCTTATGATCAACGCAGTCTAGACCAGACAAGAGATGATCGCTGTCACACTATAATAGCCTTGTGCCTTGCAATCACTGGTTGCCCATTTTTTGCTATTGCAATTCTTTTGAACCGAAAAATCAAGTGTCAAGTCCTGGTATAGACAGCTGAAGGGAGAGGTGCAATGATCCACGAATGCACCAAGCTTTGATTTGATAGCTCTAAATCCACAAAATGATACTGTGCTGCTGCCAATACAGATCCAAAAGAGCCACCCACCCATTGCTGAGATGAGAGTAATTTAATAGTGGCTAGAGCAGAGTTTGTGACAGCGAGTTGGCAAGAGGAAGTTGAGCTAGGCTTTAGAGAGCAGCACTGGTGGGTTTGTTCAAATTTGATTTTCATGCAAAAAGAAAAAAAAAATTGAGGAAGAAGAAGAGAAAAAAAAAAAAACAGCCTTGTGGAGGACGAGAAGAGGTTTCAAGCAGGCCTAAGCCTGCAAGCTGCGCCTCTGTGCACTTTATGGCGCACATTTCGTGCCATGCATCAACTACTCGTTTGTGGTAGTGGTATACTCATATGTTATGTAACTTTTTTCTTAAAATGTTACTTTATAATTTATACATACATACAGTGTGAGCCAAATGCAGCCTTGTTAGAGCAAATGCAAGGAAATCGGATGTAAGGGCAGTTCATAAAGCTCAGGGTAAATACAAGAATGATGACTCTTTGACGGGGCAACGGATAGGGAACAACTTATTTGGCGTTTTCTTTTTGCTGATCCTCACATATGCAATCATCTATGCCAGAAACGTCCTCATATTGTCAAATTGGTAGCTGCATCAAATGTTTATTTTCTCTGTCTCAGGATGTCAACCAAACAACAATTCATGTTTAACTTTCTACTTTTTAACCGTGTGTGAACATACTTAATATCTGATGCCCCTTTTCATGTTCAGGTGCTGAGTAACAAAGAGTATTTACAAGAAGTATATGACCGGACTCCACTTGGGCGCCTGGGAGAGCCATCCGAGGTTTCATCTCTTGTGGGATTCCTTTGTCTTCCTGCATCTTCGTACATCACTGGCCAGATAATCTGTGTTGACGGTGGAATGTCTGTAAATGGCTTTTACCCTCACCATGGCTAGAGGAACAATGCCTCTAGGTATGGTAATGTCGCAACATTTCAGGAAAGTTTTGTCCAAACCCATTAATTTATGCATTGTTGACTGGACCTTCCATTTGTATTTGAAAAGTTTGTTGGAAGATCAATTTTTGACTGTTGGCTCATTGACTAGTGTAGCTTAGGAATTAAACTACGATTTAGGTAATCTTAACCTTAGTGCTCCTTCATTTTGGCAATATGAGCATTCAAACCAACTGGTTGAGCATGCTAAAAGTAGTACTATGTCATTTCGTTCCGGGTTCCAATTTTTCAATGCAGTGCTGCTTCTGCAATTTTAACTAGATTTCTTCGTGTAAAAAGTATAATCTTGGCATTCATTTTTACATATATTGGGCTTGCTTGCATCTCTTCAAACTCGCTAGTGTAGGATATGCAACATTTCTGCAGCTTTCCTGTGCAACAGGCTTCTGAAATTGAACCATCATATCTGCCTTCTTGAGCCCTTTCTTTTGTGTTATTGATTATGTTGGGAACTCTCTTCCTTATGATGATCACTAATGGCGCCGTCTTCTCTGGCTTGATATCTTCATCCATTAACTAGACCAAATCTTTTCCAGCACAATGTTGCAGGTCTAAATGCCAATCTGCAGTTAGTTCGACTAAAATGCATTTGAGTTGAGTCATCAAATGCACACACAATATCAACCAGCCCCTCTATCCGAGGGGCGGAAGAAGGGGGTTCGTGGTGTGTAGGGTTTTCCGAGTGTGTGTAGTATGTTAAACATTCTTGAGTTGAAAGAACTGATCTTCCAAGTTACCTGATAATGTGATCCAGATCTCTGTAACTTCAATAACTGAACAATGTATTTTGAATTTCTCCAACAGTATGTTTGATTAGCTTCAGATTTCAAGAAGTCAAATTATGTTGTCTGACAAAAAATCTTTTTCGAAGTTGGTAAGGATTTACAACAATGTGAACTATTGAAATTTGGTCATTTGATTCCCCAAATTCTCGACCTCTCCCCTATCCCTTGTGCATATAACAATGGAGCTCAGGCATGTCTCACAAGTTAGTTACGCTCTCTATTTCAATTTATGTAACGTAATCCAAATGGACATGTAGTTTACATATACCATGACATTTGTGCAACCATAAAATCGTGTCATTAAGGATAAATAATTTTCAATTATAGAAATGTAACATTTTCTTAACAAACTAAAAGGAAAGAATATATCACATTAAATGGAGTAAATTAAGCATACTCAACTAAAAATGCTTTGTCTAGACAACTCCAAGGGATAGATTATTTATGGAGCCAAGAAACTATTTTGAAGTCCAAAATTAGTATTTGATAGGTGCATGTGACAGGGTTCAAGTATAAGTTGCACAAGAAACAATCTTTCTATTTTATAATCATTCGGTTTCCGAAACACTCCCGCCTAATAATTAGAGCCTTGTAGAGTCTAGGGGAAGCACTTCCTACCAAGATTTTTTCCATTCCCATGGCTTGAATCTGAGACCTCTGGTTCAGGTTGAAGGATCCCATCCATTCCGCCACAACTCTTGGTGGTGCATAAGAAACACTCGAAACAATGGAAATAACAATCATATAA